TTATATGACATCGATATAAATCAATAGGAACTTTTAGTATTGATATACGACAATGCGCGAACTACGGGGTGTGTTGATGTTTTATTATACAAAAAACGGCTGTGGTATTTTATTTAGATAATAAATACGAGATATAAATATAAATATAATCGACTCGTGCACATTGGGCGAGCGTCGAATTGATGATATTTTTTTTACATAGATTATATTCGATGCTCACTGAATAAATTGTTCGTTGATCGCATCGTAAAATTCATGAATGGATAATGTGGAAAATAAAGATAAGATTCGAATGTTAAATTATTTATAGAAATGTACGTTTATCTACAAGTGCACGGACGTAACTTTCCAAGTATTGCAGTAATGCCATAGTTCCAATATCTAATAAAATTAATTGAATTATTCAAATAGTAAATTTTCCTTTTAATGTGTATTTATTTGCAATATTTAGTGCATTTTCTATACAAATTAAATCCACATTAAAATAGAAAACGCTATTAAGAAAGCGAATTGATAAAACTAAAACGAAAAGCCGTCTGTTTTGATTGTTAATGAATCTTTACAGAAAATTTCTCTTCTATTTCCAGTTTACTATACATTCGTACGTATCATTTTTTATCGATTTCAAAAAGGAAAAATACTGCCCATTAAGTACTACTCAACTTTCCCACTTTCCTTTTGAAACTCTGCCAATTTTATACTTTCTTTAAACGCAAAAACCATGACAAAAAAAGGACGGTTTCGTAAAATTGCGATTTAATACGGCTCGGTTTTAGAAATTACGTTATTTTACAAAAAACATAATAACAAATTTACCAGAAACAAAAAATAAAGTATTTGCAATACTATGCTTATTTAGCAGTTTAGTTGTCTTTTTTGAAATACGTTTATCGAATTATTCGATATGAAATAAACAAATGTTTAACCTCAAGCGATGTTAAAACAATTTTTGCATATTTTGGAATTCTACTCGACATTGGCACGCAAATTCTAGTCTCGATCCAAGTAGGTCTAGAAGCGGATTTGGAATTTGGGTTGCTAAAACTCGCCGAATTCTCCAAAGCCGCTCTTTTAATCGACAAAATATAAACCTGCCCATTTTAAATCAATTAATAACGTTTTATTACACACAAAAAAAATGTTAATTTGCGGAATGCTTGCATTCGAATGCCCACGTCCTAAACAACATGCTCATAACATCGAATGAATTAACAAATCGCTACTATAATTTGATAATTGCCTACTAAATTTCCTAATAATACACACGTTAAGCAATCACATCGTATCTATTTCGCATATCTAAACGCATGCATAATAACAATACCTTAACAAACGTAATAAACATAATAAATAGAGCAAAGATATTCCGCACAGATATCGGATAACTTATGAGTCATGTAAATTGAACATGGTGGAATTATTTCCATAATCGTCGAACGAATTTATATTCGAATACGAATCACCCTGTATAAATGTGGCTAGTCGCACACGTTGTCACAACCTTGTTCCTTTATACCTCAGCAAATAAAGTAACCAAGGTCGTATATAAATAAGTAAGACATCCGTAAATGAAGATAAGTTACAACGTATTGCAAACTGCATTTTAGCTGACATACAGAGTGTTTCATTGATTAGTGCAGATAGGGGTCATATCTTCCATTCAATAGTAATCGAATTACAAGGTGTTTACAACAGAGATACAGGGTGTTTTTTAATAACATGCAACTACTGAAAGGGGTGATTCTTGGGCCTATTTTAAGAAAATAACTTCATATAAACCTATGTCCTAACCATCTTAACTTTTGAGATATAGTTTTATATAGCTAAATATTTTTATGAAATTTGGTGTACGGCGTTTAAGCATTAAAAAGCATTTTTTGACCTAAAAAATATTTTTTATTTCCAACAGTGGCGTTCGTAATGGACTCAGGCCAAATATTTTTGAGGGTAAAAGAGATGCACCACTGCTTTCTCTTGAAATAAAAATTATTTTTGGAGGCCCCGTTCAATTTCGAACAAATTTGATTTCTTGACTTTTTTTCGTACTACTCTCCGTTTCACATAAAAAAATTAAATGCATTTAACTTGTACGCTACCGCTGCTTTAGCCGCTGTGTAGAAATTAGGTAATAATAAATTGTAGGTTTAGGGCATATCTTCATATTATGTTCTTTTCTTAAAATGGCTCCAATGACCCCTTTCAGTATTAGCATGTTATTAAAAAACACCCTGTATACCTACTTAATTGAATAACCGAGTTGAAAATTTTAACGACTATAATAACAAAGCAATTTCTTATCAAATTACTATTAATTCAAGCAACCCAACAATTAAGCGATAGACCCAACAGTTATTTATTTTATAATTCCTACAATCATTCATAATCGTAATCATAATAAACTTGTCGTTTTAAAACGCCCGAGATTGTTGTGTCGCCAAACAAATGCTCGTAATGCCGATGATACTTCAACATCTAACCCACTTGTTGCCATTCGCAATGAGTTCATCAGATTATTTTTAATCTTGGCAAAACGATCGAATTCTTCGCGATCGCACAATAATTCGCGTTTCAACCACTGAGCATTCCAAGAAGTTGAGCACTTTGTGATTCATACCAACGGCTCAGATCGGTATCTGCATGTTAATGTTATTTTTATTCGCGCGCGAGAGCAAAGAGCGTAAAAAAGTCGCTTCAAAAAGAGACTATGGAAAATTGTTTCGAGGAAAGTTCGGTGTCGGAGGAACGCCAAAAAACGAGCAACTGGCATGCAAGTTTCTATTTATAAAGCTCTATAAAAGTTCAAAATTGAGCAGAATGTGGTCTGTAAACAGTTCGAGTGTCGTTGATGATAAAATAATGAAAGAAATATTCCAAACCAGGTCGAGCGTAAAGTCAGTTTCGATCAGTTGTTGAAGATGTTTTCGTTTACCAAATCTAGCAACAAGCATTGACGAAAGCTGTTGCATTATATATTTGTTGGAATTTAATTACACAACATCATTTTAGGCGTAAATGTAACTTGCCCATCGCTTCAACATTGCTAAATTGAAAACGTTACGTAAAGTCAATCAAGCACAATTTTTTAACAGACTCGAGTCCGCTGAACCTCCTTTACTAATTAATCTACCAGTAGTATTATTTGCATTAGTAATCATCTCTGATACCTTACAATACGTTTGAGAGTACCTGTACACACAAGTGATAACAGTAACGAATACCCTGAGCTGTAATGCACACAACCTTGAACGTTATCTGTAAATATTGAACGACATTTTTACTATTCGGCGATTATTAGTAAAGCAAATATTGAATGGAAACTAACACAACGCACTCGTATGTATTTTTAAGGTATGCCAGGCGTCCATAAAAATTATTAACGTTAACATTGAGCACGGGTCAGCAGGTAAACAAAATCCGGCAAATAAAATTCGAAAATTAATTGTTCGTTTTGTATATTTTGTGCGACTTTAGGCGTCCGTAAAAGGAAGTTTGTCGTTCAAAATGGCTTAGTTGCGTCAACATATGATGTGCAAGTCGATATAAATCAATCATAACTGCGTTCAAACTGTCATCGAAACCAAAAAGGTAGTTTTACTAACAAAACAGATGCTTGATAAACCGTAAAAACCTTGTTTACAGAATAAACAAGATAGTGTTTATGTTTCTTTTGTAAAAGGTTCGTTCGATAAAGGCAGGTTAATTTCTAAAACATCCTAAAACGCTTACTAGACCTAGACTAGATGCAATTATAAACACTTAGGGACATCAAATTTTCTATAATATAGAGTACAGGTTTTAAAAGTCCCAATCATAAAAACTAAAGAACCTTTCAGAAACGAATAATTTACCTTTCTCACAGCTAAAAAAACGCCGGTACTCATTCGAAAATCCCGTTTAATTGTACTACCATTAAAACGACCGGTCCCATCCCCATAAATGGGATCTCACGATGTTTGAGAATGCTTCTTCTAGAAAGAGTAATTCCCAAAATCGTCACGGTTTTTTTTATAAATGGCCAATAATATATTTCAGAGACGTGTTTTCGAGTAAGGTAACAGTAGTTGGAAAACTAACTATAAATAGAATTGATTTAATATAATTGTGTATTTTTTTATTTTTCGAAAATGCATTGGCTCGTATAAGAATTGTAATTAATATTTATACGGCTTTTATGGCATGGGAAAAGTGATTCGAGGACGAGGATATTTTTAATTAGCATGACAACATAAATAAAAGTATATTATGTATGTTCTTATAGTTGAAAAATGTGATCATATTCAAATTATAAGGGCTTTCTTGGTGAATATTATTTACATATGTGCTAGTTATTTTGTAATTTAATAATTTGAATTGGTGATCTGAGTAAAGAGATAGGATATAAGAAAATGAAAAGGTCGCAAAAATGGTTATTGTGTATTATTTATTAGACATCAAAAGGTCGCGAAGATCCGTTTTGAAATTAATATAAAAATCCATAATTAAAATTATATTGGTACCAGCTGCAGAATTCAATATTATTTACGATGATTATAAGTAAGGATGATTAGACATATTTTATAATTGTTATTTACATTTTGCATAATTTCTAGAAATAGTAACATTTTTACGAGTCTCACGATAGTTGCATTACAATCAGGAAATCAAATTTTCAAAATGTACAATTTACAAATTTAAATATCCTACATACAAAAGTATTAATAAATTTTCTATGTATCCACATATCGATAAATTCACTATAAGAACAAAGTCTTAAAATCGTATTAAATCGTTTGTATTAAACACAAACAAAATATTTTTAAACACGTGAAAAAAGATAAACCGAAAATGATCAGACAACCTTGTTATCGATCCTGACCTTACACCTGACCCACATCACTAACAATTCAATAAATCATTCACCGTTTAACCAAAAATAACCTAACAAATCAATCGCTCAAACGAACCCCAAACGCATGGCAACCCTTAAACATACAACCCATATACGAACAAAAAAAACTCACCTAATCAGCTGGGACTTGATAAGATAGTAAACTCCTAAAACCCGGCGATTTTACGATCCCGTCCCGGTAAAAGAAATCCCGTCACGTGTTCCCGTTACCAATGTGCTGCGCCGAAACGGCAATGGTCTCAAATTCGCGTTTACTACTATTTACGATCGTATCAAACACGGTGTGTATAAACCACGATTGTACGATGAATGAGCGCTCTCTACGTTCTCTAGCAGCAACGATACGGTTGCAGACTGGTCGAAGTCGGAATGACTCAGAGAAACTCGACTCGGTTTGGTTTGGTTTATCGCTGGGTCGGGTGTGTTTTGATCGAACGTTGCCGTCAGCGCGGAAAAACGTAGAACTTCAGGAAATTTCATTTGCCATCTTTATTTGTCCCTTGGACCCTGGCTCAACGAAAAATAGATTATTTTTAGGGTGTAAAATTACAAACGATGTCAAACATTATAAGCATTTGTGGTTTAAACAATTGGACGATCACTACAATCGTCACCATAAAAGTTTATTTTTTCTTTTTAATTGTGGTTAGAATGAATTTAAGTTTTCGAATTGCTAAAAAAGTTGTTAAAGAAACATCAAACACAATTTAACATCCCTCAAAAATTTAAAAAAACCATGAATATAAATGACCATTCACTTTCAGAAGAACAAAATACCACTCTCGACAAAATAAATTACTCTCGAGTCGGATCGAATCGTAAAGAAACTAATATCAATATTACACCATGGGAACTTTTGTGACCAGTTTTTGTGATCCCTTGTCAGTGCGTATGTCTACCATAATTCTTAGTAGGTACATAAACTCGTCCAGTAGTGAGTCGAGAAGCGCCAAACATTACAAAAGGTTGCCCAAAGAGAATCCTGCGGTATATAAAGGTCCGGTCCCAGGTACCCTATATGAAGTACACCAGACTTCAGGTACACATAAGAACGATTGAAGGAATGAAGATTTAATATATCCTGGTGTATATTTGTTAAGAAAATATGATGGGATTTCATTATCGTTTGAAAGTTGCGCAAGTAACGTTATACAATTACTCTTATCGCCCTGTAGAAATTGATCAACGTGATACAATTACAAAAGCCAACCCTGTCGGGGTGGCGGCTAAAACGACCGAAAAGCAACAAGGTACAAAAACATCGTCATCAGACCCATTGTTAGTTGTTTAACGTGTTTTAACTTGCACGAACGTTGCGGCCGACTTCTATTCCTTTTTTTCCAATTTTCGGGTCTCTGTTCGTACACAGTTTCGAGATCGATTCGCGTTCCTTTATGACTATCGCGCATTAAATTAAAGATGTCCACCGAGAAATTAAAAGCGAGCCATTAAATCGGCACTTCCTGATGCAAAGTGCATCACGGCCCGACCATAGAAGATCGCCGGTCTCGCGCGAATACCGTTAGAACCAGCTCAAACCGATAAACCATTATGCGGTCCAAGCTATTTGCTTTAGCACAACCGAGGACACAGGAAAGGCGATCGGAGAAGATTAACGCGCGTCCTAAGCAAACATAAAGGCATTTATACAGACATAGGCAAACTCACGAGGTGTTAGATAGGTACAGTGCGACGGGAATAACTGTGAACGTCACCTGCGCGGCTTTTAAATAATAACCGTTGCGCATCCAACGTCTACAGCTATTTCTGTTACACTGTATGTAAATATGGGGAAAATTGTTCATGCCGCAAGTCTAATGAACTTTACACTCTACTCTAGCGAGACAATAAAGCAGGTGCTCGACTAAAGGGAATTATTTTAATAACTCAAAGCCTTGGGGGCGATTCCGTTAGCGTGTATTTTCTCTTGCTCCGCTTCTCTGAGCGAATTTACACTGATTATTTTACTGAAGTTTATTTACATGGAAAACAAGAAAATAAAATTACATTAATTTATGATTAAATCGATACAAATGTTTTCGCACGTGATTATTAGATTTTCTACAAACAAGAATGTCGGCGGCATTTTTAACGTTGAATCGAAACGTGACTGAATATTAGTAGAGAAAAAAAAATGTGTTGGACAATAATGAGAAAGCTATTAATCGCTTCTAATAGATATTTTTTATAAGCGCATTAACCTCTTACCTTGTATTTTATTGTCTTGACGCGGGCATGCTTTATGGATAAACAATGAAGGACGGTCTCGTTTGCATACAAATTTTATCGATAACGGCGCGATAAATATGCAGCGCATGTGACATAACACGAATGATACTTCCTTTTGTCTTATTACAGGTGATTTAAAACTTTAAACAATAATATGAGTTATTATTAAATAAAAATGTGTTAAAATCTACCGGTGTACCCAATTTAAACCACAATACATAGCCTTATATGAATAACGTTGATTAACTATTAAATTAAATTAATATTATTATAACCTAATTTACTTTTTCGAGTACCAAACAAAGGAGCGAACGGTACCATTAGAGAAAAAAAATCGGGTATAGGTACCGACGAGACAATCGCACGCCGACATCGCTCTATCTACAATGAAAACATCAACACAGGTGCCTCTTCATGTCTAGAAATTCAGAATCTTAACGACTCGCTCGATATCCAACAATAGTAGTTAAGACTATAATTACCCTTAGGGCTTTGCTCTTCTCTCTTTTTTTACCAACGAGTACCCGAAATAAAACTCGTTATATAAGTGGGTACCGAGAATCGAAAATCGATGTTGCCGCGATCCGCACAAAGACAATTGATACCATCGAAATAATTAATACCTATGCATCTCTAACTGTAAAAGTGGGATTGTTTTTAACTACAGAGTGATCCTCTGAACCACTAAAAGAGTGGGTTACTTTTTATCAGTACTTGTGTTTCGTTTGAAGCTCGATATGTTCGAAACGGAGGTGGAAATTTGGAGAAAATGAAGACGACGTGGCATCTGCGGGCGAATAAGAACCACCGAAGGTGTGGGATTACTTCCTGTGAGGCGAGTTTTTGCCTTCGAGTTGGACCACCCGCTGCTACAGTGAAACCAAAAGCTTTTATGGACACGATGATGCTTCATTCTTGTGTCTTGAGAGCACCGTGAATAGGGCGCAGGGAAATTCGAGCCGCATCAAGACGAACTTTACCGAACGTTTCGACAATATAATACGTGTAATTATTCATAAATTTGTAGAGAGGAACTTTAATTTTTGTTTAAATAATTCACCGTTAAAATTTACCATTTCCTGCTTTTTAAACGTAATTGGCCGTTTATGAAATTTTTAATAAACCAGTCGAATTGAAACATTTGTGGTATACCATTTTAGGACTAGCTAATTGCTCGTTGTTTCTTCGACTAATGGAAAATTCTTGGACAAATAACGTCGGTATAATATGATGATATATGATAGATTATCACAACTCTGTTGTTAGAAAAAATATAACGGAACCCTAACATCATTGTATCAGAACAAACCGACCGTAAAATAAATTCCAAACGATTTGAATGATGAGGGTAGAGTTTTAATTTCACAGCGCCGTATTTTCCTAGAACACCAAGATCGTTCTCTTGATATATACAATCCAAATTTGCTCAAAATAACCAAATTTTATTAAATAAATTGTATAAATATCACAATAATTGACCCGTTTAATACAACTACACTTTTATTGTCTAGTGCAGTTGATGTGTTCAAGCCAACCCTGAGTTCTGATAAACATTACCAATTAATCCTGTTCGTTCTACACGCATCAATGAATTGCCTTATCTTCGAATCGGTTCAATTACTATACTTGTTATAACATTTATTTTTTTCCATCGTCGCTCTTGATACCTACATTTCGTTTTTTTCCAACTTCATTATTATGTGGGTTGGGGAAATTTCTCCGTTTAAATGGATACCCATTTTACGCCGAGATTTTACCGCGAGTACTCCGCGAGTACGTCGCGGGATGGAAATATGATAAATAAATCATTTTACGGAAGAACAAAAACCCACAAACCGGTCACGAGATACAAATAAGGACTTAATCACACACCTTTCAACCTTCTATGATATTCCGAGTCGTGTGTGCGAGCGCGAGTACTCTCGGTACGCGTTTGTACACACCACACAAACAGCTTTTTCTGCACATAAAAGACGAACGTACCGTTAACTCTAATAAACATTTCCACGAAATAATCTCCTATTTGTCGGGAGATGTGTGACAATGGTAATTTTCGCTTGAAAATATAAATTGGCTATACCAATGTGAAAAATTGAACAGGATCTTATCAATTTCTTTACCCATAATTTTCTTCGTTTACAGATCGTTCGTCCCACGAGTGAGATGTTTAATTGAATTTTAAAACGTGTGTGTTTCTATGTAAAAATGTAGAGTTCATGTTAGAGGGTAAAATGTTGTATAGATCGTTTTTAATCGGCTCGAAAACGCAAACTTTCTTCGTCGCGAATTCGATCCGACTCGCAACGAATCCAATAAACACCGGACGCGAGTACGTCGGTGTCACACATTATATCGAAGATGGTTAAAGTGAAACCGAGCCAATTCGGTTTCTGTAACAAGCGGAACTCGATTTTCAAATCAATTATCGATCGCTCGTCGGACGAGCAGAAACCTGCAATTAGATTACCAAAAAAAAAGAGTAGCATCGATTAGAAACTCGATAACATATGCATTGTAAAATCTTCTATTTACATGTCTTACATCCAAAACAATTACTTTCCATTGTTTTGATATTGTAAATCGTATGTAGAAATTTGAGATGATTGATTGGATTTTAAATGCATCGAATTTGGTGTTAACCGGACAATCGGAGTTCAATGGAATTTTATTCATTTTTCGCAGACGACAAATCGTATACACGATCACAAAGCATTTCGGAAAATTCACGGTATATAAATTTCGTAATTACAAATGAGTACGCCGCGCCCATTTCCGCCGGAATTGCGTAGTTTTTAGTAAAAGTAGTCCACGACAATTTCGAGTCTTTTATGCTCGTCATTACCCGCGCAAAACTGCTTTATTGTCTCGCGTTTTATTTTTTTTTGTTTTTCGAGCGAGTAGGTAAATACAATGCAATAAAAATGGCGATGGTATTGTTTAAGAGTTGCCTATTTCGAATAAAAATTTAACATAATAACTTTTGGTTTCTTCGTTTGACAAAGATGTAAATAATTGTGATTGGAAACCTCTACGGTGGTCTCAATTAGCTATGTATTATTAGCTATAAATTAGTAGGTATATTAATTCGACATAAAGTATTATTTTTGTGAAAAAAAATTGGTTACCGTTGTTAACAAAA